GAGCCTAAGCTATAGAGGACTATAGATTCTGGAGAGAGAAAGCCTCATGGAAGTGATAGCTATCAGGCGCTTTCTTAGCATAAAGGAAGCTACAACAGAATGCATGAGCATGAGCTTCCAGATTTGGATTCGCCTACACGAGCTTCCCTTACTGTGTCACTTGGCTGAACAAACCCCAATTGCTGTGGTTCTGCCAGCTCCCACAATAAGGGGAGCTTGCCATTTGCAAATGCTGCAATCGGCGGCGGCTGCCAATCACATGACGGGGCATCTCTCCTTGCCACAACAAGTACAGTATATCGCGGATGATAGCGCGGGGGGTGTTGAAAAGTGTGGGGGCCTTGATATAACGCACCCGGCGTTGCCAAGTATGGCCGGCGTTGCGGAGCGCGCGATTACGCAAGATAGAGAAGGGGGCGGGGATTGGGTGGCGTCCCAACCAGGCTGGCCGGCCGGTCTGCAGTAGCCGCTTCAACATCATATAAAATCATACATTTTTACTTCTCAATGCGTGTGCTATAACCTTAGTGTTATGAAGTCTAATTTTACTAAACAGTGCCATGATATTCCTCCTTCAATCAAGCATGATGTCCGCAAGATTCTCACTGTCCAGCTCCATACTTGTAGAGTGTGGTACTTATGTGTACTCCATACATATGCTCCATACCGCTGACAGGGGGGCATCACAGCACGAGTGCACTGCGGCGTGCCATTAGCTCTTATTCGTTGCTTTTTGTTGCCCCTGCGATTGGCGCCTTATGTAATATAATGAATGTGCTACATTGACCATGCGCCGTTTCGCTTTGCCAATCAATCTGGCGGCACGAGGGGCGCGGCGTAATGCAGCGAGCTATGGCATCCCGTCAAGTTTTTTTGCAACGGTTTTGCTTGCTGCCGTCAATGACGCCTTATGTAATGTGAACGCGGCTTAAGCACACCAAGCAAATCGGTTTGCTGCCGGTAAGCCGAGCAGTGTGACAATTTTTGCTTCGGTTCCTACTCGCCAACTGGCGAGGACACTTCGTTTGATGTGTTATCATCGACAACCACTTCCAGACATCAGGAGTTAATGGAATCACAGATTTTGTTTGTGTTTACATTAGATTTCAACGAACTTCTCACAGATTCTGCTTCCCTCAGGCAAAATGGGAAGCTGACGGCTACCTCATTGCCTTGTTATGTAACAAATGATGATGATGATGACAACGCTGGGGGGCGCTACTGAATCAGCGACTTGGTGCAGAGCGCGGGGGCACGAAAGATAGCATAGCGCAGGGCCACGCAAGATGGGGGCGCTACCCTCCGTGATATACGGTACCTTGTACGCACTGGGTGCCATACTTGTCGATGTACATCCTTGCGCACATGTGTCGATTGATTGACATGACGTCATGCAAGGCCTTTACAAAACAGCCAATCGACCTCCCAAGTCCCGCATCGGGCGCTGGCCCTCATAGCCAATTTCCTGCCAGCCAGAAGGAGCCCGTCCCTTTCCCAAATTCCTCACTTCCCCGCCATATTTCAAAGGCGGACGGCCCACCAAGGCAGAAACCCCCTGCTGCGGGGCTGAGCTTCGAAACCAGTTATTCCGAGCCGCCTGATAGCCGACTCGGAGGAAGAGGTGGGGGGCGTGCAAATGTCATCGGCTGGTCCAATCTCCATACGGGTCACCAAGGACGAAACGAGGGCAGCAACAGGTGTCCAGGGAGACTTTGGTAGCAGCCGCCAAGTGTGCGTGAGCGTCGTCGACGACGCGGGCTGTGGCGGCGACATGGAGGCCGCATTGGAGCAAAAGCCGCGCGAGTCCAACGACCCCCTGCCACGTGGGTCAAGCGTCTGGACGTCAGTCAGAAAGGCCTTCTGGTCGGGTGAGGCGGCTTCTTGAAACGGCCCCGTCGACATTGCTAAGGTTCCCTGTCCCCTTTCGTTCACGACCCATCAAAGGTTATCGTCATCATCATTTGTTACATAACAAGGCAATCAGGTAGCCGTCAGCTTCCTATTTTGCCTGAGCAAAGCAGAGTCGATGATGAAGTCGTCGAAATCCAATGTAAAAAAACGAACACTATCTGTGGGCCTATTATCTCCTCATGTCTGGAAGCGATTGTCTATGGTAATACATTAAACGAAGTGTCCTCTCAGTTGGCGAGCGGGAACCGAAGCAAAAAGTGTTTTTGCATTGCGACATCGAAAAATGCAAGAGTGGCTTCGACGGATGATATCATAGTCCTGGCAATGGAAGAGAAAATGAATTTCGTCTTCTGGAGCCAAGTGACATAAAAGACACAATCGCCCTGAGAATGTGGAAAGGCTATCTCTGTTGGTGACTGCTCTGTTGATTGCGCCTTCACAAATGGAGGCCAACCGTGAAGCTGCTCGTGAAGTGTGTATCTCCTGGCCTTAGTCTGTAATTGCTCTGGAATTAAATTGAGTCGAGGAGCGCACTTTCTGTGTGGGAGGCAGTTCACTCATTCAATTAGTGTTGCGATTGGCAGCCCTTCAGTACAATATGTTACTCACCTGCAACATCGTGTGGCAAGAATCCGCGCATGCACCTGGGACGGGGTTTTGTCCCTATGTCGGCATCTAATACACAAGGTATCCACACAAATGCGCCTGATCGTCTTGTGATCGCCGGTACCTTGGCGATTTACGGGGATTGAACAATCGCCCTTTGATGTTCAGGATGGGACTATGTGGAGGACCATCTCGCGGAAATGTTTGGTTTGAATGACTCAAAGTACCAATGGGCGGTAGATGAGTACCTCGAGCAGCAAGCCACGGTGAGGACCCAATTTTGGCGACTACGGGAATCGAGCGCTGACCTCCCGAAATCGCACAGCACCCTGCGCAACCACAGTGCTGCCAATCAAGCCGCATGTGTTCATTATAGCGCAGAACAAACACTAAATTTAACACTGATTTCGAACGTGTTCGAAGCACTAGGCATGCTTAAATTGAAGGGTGACAAAATGTCGTTCCAAATATTCAGCGGACTCTTGGGGATATTGAATCTTCGAATATAGCGCGTACAAGTATGCACAGTAAATACACAGATACGGGACGACACTGTGCCAAGTTTCGCACGCATAGCGGCGTTCAGACCCCGCATTCCCATCCTGTCAGCGTCAATCCTTATGTCGACGCAACACCAAGATGTCCTCAACGCAGCCAAACACACAGCATTGCCGAGACTGGAAAGGGTCGCAAACGAGATATCCGAGCCCATGGCAGCCTTGGATTGTGTCAATTGGGACATGTGGGTTTTCCCAAGAGGATTGAACGCTTATGAAGTGTTTTAGAACAAGCAATGGCTTGCGTGGCGTGGATCAGAGGTGGTTTGGGTCGCTTCCCAACTATGTCACTGTTGTGACCATTGCTTAATCTCATAGTGCTACAGGTCTGGCCCCCTGCCGCAAGCGTCAATTTGACGCTAAGCGTACCGCATTCGATATAGTGGCTTCGTTAGCTAACAAAAAAAGTACTTCGAAGTGGACAGAAGAGGTACCCGGGCGCCTTGGCACTAACAAACAATATAGACGCAAACTACAACTATCCAGCACCGTATAGTCATTGCAACACAGCGATGCAGCCAGGTGAAAGGTCAAACGATTGACGCAATGTCATAGCTGGATAGCCGTGCATGTGCTCAAAACCCCATTGCCTTGGTGCATTCCCAGGACCCTGCGGACAGTGTACCAGACCAGACGGCGGGGGACATTGAAGGTCAAGAGACCGATGAGGTGGTCCGCTTTCTCGCCCTTCGGTAGCCTGCTCTCTGCTGGTCGTATGAACTTCAGCAGATTGGATGACGCCGTCGATCGCAAAGCGCCTCCAACACTATCGGGCATAAGCGCAGGTCACAATGCCCTGGCGGGTCTGGTTTGCGGGCTAAAGATTGAAAAATTGCTACAGCCCGCAGTGAAACCTTCGACATTACGACTTTTGAATCTGCTAACGTTTCGGAGTTCTGTGTGCTGTGTTCTATGTGGCGTGTTTGGCTGGAAAGCCGTCCTGACTGAAACGCATACATGTCTGCATCCACAGGTGGCAACACTGCTTGCGCTTGAGGAGCAGCGCATGGACAGGGGCTGACTAGCAGACCGGCTAAGGTCGCCGCAACACTGGCACAGCGGAACAGAGGGAAGGCAAGCGTGCTGAGACGGCCTCTAACACGACACGTCTAAGACCCTTGAGCAGGGAGCGCCATGGCACCAACGCACTCTTCGGCACTGGCCACAGACCAGCCTGCGAGTATTGCTGCCTCTGCGCAAAAGAGCCATCGAGCACCTGCCATGCAGAGCGAAACTGAGCTGCGAGCAAGCAACACTCCCTGCGCAAGTCATGGGAAGGGGGCCGGGCATCTGAGAAGGAGCGCTGGCTGCAACAATGGCCAACGCCGATGTCCAGCAAACCGTTTCTTCCCCTTCATGGGAAGGTCGCCAATCTGGATTCTTTTGGTGGACACTGCACCAGTCTGGGAATGAAAAGGGTCCCATGCAAACACCCAGATGCCCGCAAACCTGAATGTAAGAGCTCCTGTGGCGAGCACCATTGAGTGACCAGCTATGGGCAATGCCATGGCCACTGTGCCACCGACTAACAAATCGCGCTTCGCAACGTGGAGGGGCGTCTGTCCAAAGTCCATTTCGAAGTCTGCGGTGTTCACACCCATCTGTAGCAAGCACAGGCTTGCGAGCAGTGCGAGCGGCATTCCCACACAGCACACCATCAGGAACTCAATGAACGAACTTGTACAAAGGCAAAATGCACACGGAAACTACACAAATCCTCATGGCGTCGCAAGTGCCCTATTCCCTGTTTAAACCATCCAATCCCCACGAACATCTACAGCAGATCCACAGCACCCAATGTCAGATTTTCACCAGCCACCCGAATGGTCACAGGCGCGACAGCGCAACGGCTTTCAGCGAATAACCACAGTTATTGCAGATCTACACAAGTTGCTTCCGGGAAAAACGACTACGCGCTTCAACCCACTAGTCAGACTTCTTGTCACCCTTTGCGACCGCCACCCCTCCCCTTACTGACCCCCCCCCGGAGGGCGTCCTCCCGTTGGACGTGCTCAAACTCCGCAGGCTCGCAAAGGATGAGGCCAGTGGATCGGCCAGTGACGTGAGATGCAGGACTGAACCTGTGCCCAGCCCACTTTGCTTCACCGCACGCTTCACCCGCTGGAGGATGGACTCAGAGGTCTGGCCATTGGAGCCTTCACCTCCACTCAGGAAGGCACTGCCAGCGGCACAGTCGCTGCCGCTGGCGACCAGGGAGTGGGCCACGGAGACGAGGTACCCAGCGAGCTGCGATGCCTTCCTTCCATTGGGCAGGTTTGGAGGCCGGGAGCGCTTCATGCTCTGGCCAGAACGGCTGCTGCTTCTGGTGAAAACTGGAGCCAACACAGGACATGCATCAGCGGCTGGCGCGGCCGTCTCTGGTTGCATTTGCCAAACACGATGCTTCACGGCCATTTCACAAGCTGCACATGATGGGTGCTGTTTTCAAGCAGAAGTGCCCCTGTGGTTGGCTTGGCATCCGACGGATGTCTGCCAACCTGTCCTGACAGCCAGGCACAAGCCCTCTGAAGATACCCCTCAGGGAATTCGCTCCGAGCTGTCAGCAAAGTGATGCTGACATCGACGCTATACTGGCAGTCTGCAGCCGCATCTTTTGCAGCAACAGACCTTGAGTGTCAGACAAGCAGTGCCGCCTTCAGTAACAGATGCCTATCATGGCGTTCAGAAGCAAGCCCACTGGTACATTTTGTGAAGGCAGCTCCAAACCATCCAGTTCATATCACACCTGCAGCTCTGGTGCCAACTTTCAGCAACGACTCCAAAACACACTTGGTGCAAATGTGTCTGACTGCCTCTGCCTCCTCGGGGGGGATCATAGCCCTTGACACACCAAGTGTTGAATAGACATTCATGACGTTCAACATGGAGTATGAACACCTGCCAAAACACACCTCGTGAGATCTCCGAGCGGCTCGGTGAGCAGGGTCTGTCGCCTGTCCATGAGCCACCTGCCTCCTGGTCGGGCTGGCTCTCCATCCTTGGAGAGCAAGAGGCGGGCCTGTCACTGTTGCGGGACGACGGAGTCCGCTGTCGCATGCTGTCGCGGCGAATGCGACCTGGGGCCAAACCCAACCACCATCAGCACAGACGACATTAGGTCTACCGTGGGACCTGAATGGCAGCTGCTCAATGCGCGCAGGCCCAATGGTATCCAGTCGAAACTGAGGGTCGGTCAAGGCAAGGATTGCTTTGAAAGCATCTGGAGGATGGGCAAACTTGTGAAACCTCTGGTCCATGCAGATATTGGGAGAATGGCTGCCGAACCTCAGCACATAGCATTCTGATCTATTGACACTGTCTGCGATGGTTCAGTCAACGTGTAGAGTACCATGTCAAACGGTTGTTCAGCAGTGGGCAGACGTTCTGGAGCAGAGACACCAGAGCACATACGCTGGCAATATCTCGAAGCACGAACAGTACTTCAGTCATGGAGCAAATCAGACAAAGAAATCTGAGTACTGAAATTCCTAAAACATTGGCTCATGCAGACGCACATCAGGTTGTGCATTTTGGTGACGCTCACCATCTTTCCTCCTGGATGGCATTACGATATCTGACATCACCTTCATCTCGACCTCTGCCGGGTCTCGCCAGCAGAACTCACGTGAGTCGCTGTCACTGGACGCTGGAAATGCACAACAGCAAGTCAGACCTGGAACATATCCAATGTGTAAATAACAGGCAGCAAGATGGCATTGTCAGCAACATGAGCAGCTAACCCACTGGGCATGTTCTGACCAACGGGAACAAAGACAATTTGGGGAAAACCTCTGATTCGAGAATGCTCCAGTCTTTATCATTCTGTTCTGAGAGCTGGTCTCCCATCTCTTTTTGCACTCAGCCCACCCCTGAGCCCCTATTCTCCTCTTCTTTTCTGAAAACTGGCAGTTACTCAGGGCAGCCTGTGGGATCTTGGGAACAACTTCGCTGCATGGGTTGAAGGGCAACGCTATGCTGTAGACTTGGGTGTCACATGTACTACTTCTGCAATCTGTACAATACCATATGTGCTACAGGATTATGTATATTACCTGTGTTTATCACTATCTGCATCCATTGAAAGACACGAAACCACCCAGTCAACATGATCACAATCCAACCATGCATTCAAGCTACAAGAGATGCATTGTTTTGCCCTCTGAAGAAACATCCACTCAATACCAATTTCGAGCCCATGGTGCCACGCCCAGCCCTAACAAATAGTTGCGCACCATATGAGACTTTCTCACACAGCCATGCTCTGTCTTATCGGAGCGCGCAGAGGTCATTGACACTCCTACATGGTGTTTGAAGGCACTGTCCTGCCATTATCCTGCTGGCAAAAAGCCACTGCTATGGTGGATGTGCACAGTGTTCCACACTTGCATATGTCAGGCACATATTGAATCTGCACAGCCCACAGACGTTCTATGTTGACTGCATTGAAAGAATGGGAACACTGCACTCAAACCAGACTTGACAGTCTGGAAAACCCTGTCACTACATTATGACATGCACTCGTGACAGGAATTTGTGACAGGCACACATGACAGCCCTGACGCTGCGGCATGGAACCAGTAACAACCTGCTGTACTTGTTGGAGTGGTGACTGACTCCTCCAGCGATATTGGGCCACTTGCGATCGGCCCCAGCGCAGTCGTCCCGGGCCTGCTGACGAAATCCGTGTGGTCTGCACGCCGGCCCAAGCGGTTCACCAGCCTTGCGACTGTGTTGGCATCAGATATCCTGCAGCAGCGGATGGCAGCACCACATGCTAGTCAGAAGCTTGTCAGCAGCACGCTGCGCAACGATGTGTGCCTTCTGCACACATGAATGCCTGTCAGGAGCACCATTCCATTCAAGAATGCTACCTGCACACATAGTCTGCCAGCAATTTCAGTGTGCTTCTTTGTTTGAGGACATCCTGCACAACGGGAGCGCCCTCCCCCTTTCCTTGTATCCATGTTTGCAACACACTCCGCTTCAGGTGGGATATTTTCAAATGCATTTGGAAAACTGGCACTACCGTTTCCACCCTCCCCTTTCCCAGCAGACATGCGCTGGGCCAACACTGCCTCCATCGGACTGCGATAGCTTAGAAATCATCTGAAAAGGACGATGGCAACCACAACTGCGCCGCAACCAAGGAACTTACAGGCTACGCACAAACAAGAAGTGGCTCACCCTGTGCATGGGATATTACCATGAACTGATCTCCAAGTTATGCCACAACCTCTCAGACAGAAACGAGTCTCCCACAATTTGTTCAAGTGATGTTCAGACTTCTTGTCTGCACACAAGGCTATCCATACTATGGCCTATCCCTTCCTTCCTTTTACAATGCTACCATCACCTTCCTCTGCCCCAACACGCAGGCCCTCCCATTCTGCTTCTTAAGTGCTAGCCATCTCTCTCTTTTTCGTTCAGTTGTTGGTTTATTGGGGTGCCCGTTTCTTCTGGACAGTGTAGTGGACACAGGCATGCTTCAGGAACATCGTATTGTGCATGCTTTCATTACCTGATGTTGCCAGCTTGGTGAAAAGGCCTGTCATGTTGTGACAAGTGCGCGATCAATGAAGCTGGACACACAGGCTGACTGGCACCACAACATTTCTTTGTCACATTTCAATAACAGTAAGGAAGTGGGGCTCTTGGAGCCCACTGCTTGGATGTTGATCAGCCAAGCGCACTCGTGTGACCCTGGCACAAGCAAACTGTTGCACCATCTCCTGCAATGTGTGTATGTGTCCAACAGAAAAATGTTGCCCAGAAGGGAAGGGCCCAATCGTCTGGCAAGCTTTTTCTGTGTTGAAAATGCGATCTTCCCTGCTCGAGTATGATTGCCCACATTGGATTAATCGAAACGAGGTATACCCACCTCACTTCTCTCCTCCTCTCCAGAGGCACCAGCAGTGTGTCCCGCGCAAACATGGCGTTGTCCGACAGCAGCCCATTGGCCTGCTTGAGGTCCAGCACCGTAACGCCGTAACGTATGGCGACCCCAGCCATGTTGTCATCCTTGGACACCTGGGGACCGCCACACCGATGCACAACGGCTGAGACTGCGACCAAACTCTGTTTAGGGGCGCTGGCCGGCCCCACATTTTATCTTCTGCATTTGCAATTCCACCCAGACAGGTCCCCCTGTGTGCATGTATCCTTGCTCTGCTTGCTGCCCTGTACTGTGTGAACCTTCTGCGACGCTAGGAGACCACCAACATCTTCCCCAGTGCAGCAAACGCCTCAAAAGTGTCAAAGCTCTGGAGGGTGCCCTTTGGAGCGACGTCTTTTCCATTTCGTCAGAGAGACGATCAACTCAGCGCGCGGACAGCCAAGACATCTCTGAAATCTGAGCAATCGGCCCTGCACTCGCGGCAGCCAATCCTCGCCGGGATCCTCAAGACGGTGCCCAGAGCATCCTATACAGGGGTTCAGACATGTCGCAGAGCGGTCAACGCGATGCGCGTGTGCTCGTCGACGGCCCAGCGAGCGTCACTTCGTGCTCCTCCCATCGCACTCCGGCACCTCCGTTTCGCCTTCCGGGGTGAAAGAAGACACCAGACCCCTTCGATCCCGACGTCAGCGCCCATACCGTGGCCCTTTTCTCCCTCCGGCCCCCACACGATAATTGGAAACAAAATCCGATGGAAACACCCCGGGGGGGGGGGGGATTTCGCACCTTGTGCACCAGGTACTGGTCGCCGCTCTCGCCGCTCGCCGACGGCTCTCCGGAGCTGCCCTCCATCTCGAGGGTGCCGCGCCGCGCCGCTTGAACCCAGATGCCCACACAGCCTCCCGTCCCGGCCCAACAACCGCCCCCGCCTGTTCCCCGCTCAGGGCCCGCTACCGGCCCCCAGCGGGGTACCTCGCCCCGGAGTGTCCGACCAGCAGGCAATGCCCGGTCCCGCCGGGCCCCCGTCCAAGGATGCGACTTGGAGCCCCTGCTCGCCCTTGTCCAAGTCACGAGTCAGTCCGCGACTCCCTCGTGCGCCAAGCCGGGGCAGCCCGGACCGGTTGCGCCCAATTTCTGGAGCCTGGCGGCTGGAAGGGATGCCGGGCGGGCCGGTAATCGAACGCCAAGGGAAAACCAAAAGGGAGGGGGGATCCCTGACAGCGCCCCTCGCCGTCGGTGCCACCAGCAGCAGTGGGATGGCTGCGAGGGGGGCGGGGGGGAGGGGGGAAACTGCGCGGCGCCGACGCCACGAGAACGCAATCCGCTATCCGATTCGCAGCGCTCGGAGATGGGAAACCACCGAGCGCCACGCGAGTGCAATGGGCAGAGGCAAAGGGCGCCTCTTGGCGATGGCCGCCGCCCGGCGGGCGCGGTAGTTGGGCCCGGTGCCCGTCCGGCAGGAGGGCCGGTCGAAAGGGATGCGGGCCTGCAGCCGATGCGGAGTGGGGAGGGGGAGAGCGGATGGCCGGGCCACTGGCGCTCGCGCGACGGGGCGTGTGTACAACGGCGGAGAGTCGGTGCGCGTCTGTGCAACGAGCGTGGGGAGGGGGGCAAGGGCGGGGTGGATGAGGGACTCTAGCGGTGTGCGAGGAAAAGAATGACGGCTCTGATTGGCGGAGGGACGGACGCGGGGGACCGGGGGGCAAACCTTGGGGAACCAAGGGAGGGCAGCAGCGTGTGTGGAGCGCTGACGAATGTGTTACGTGCACATCTCCGCCAGGTACACTGTGTAGTGTGCTTGGGTGTTTTGAGGGCCATGGGTTGTGAACGGATTCAACATTCGGTTTAGAACGCTGGTAGGAGTGGCGTTGGCGAAGGCAGGCAGGGTCGAGGGATGGCGACCCCTGAACGGGGAACGTATGCTCCAGTCCACGGCAACAGTTTACAGCCGAGCAAAGGGACAACAGGAGCTCTGTCCCTGACCCAGTCCGTTCATCAATGTCCTTATTGCAATTCCTAATGCCTCATCAGTTCTTTATACGTCGAGCAGTTAATGATGCTCAATCAGTTCTATTTACACCCGCGTGTTCTTCAAGATGGGCAACGGTCTATTTCTGCCTGAATGTGGGCAAACAGGAAGGCAAAGTAGTGGAACTGCGCTCAGCAGCGCAGGCATCATTCGCTGCGTTCGAGGCATGGCTACCTGAAGCGCAACCAGCAAGGGGTGATCGACTGCAAAAGTGCACACAATAGGAGTTATTGCTGGAATCTGTTTGTCGAACTTGACATAAACACCGTTACACCTCCAATGCGTTGGCAGGCACACTTGGCAACCACCACGTGCGCTCAAACGATCACAGGGCTTGTGCAGGTTGGCCTATGTCTTGAGGGGCACCCATTCATACACAGTTGGCTTTCAATTCGATCCCCCTGTCGGTAGAGCAAGAGCACAAGCGACCTGTTCTATGGCAGCAAATGCTCACAGCTGGCCTAGGAGCATGCATCCTTATTAAGGATTCACTATCGTCAAACGATGACCTTCGCACAAGCTTTTCATATCCCCCCAAGCGGAGTGCGAGGAACCTTTGTTCAGTTCAGACTGTGAGAGCCCACTCCAGGGCATCTTGGGTATCTTGTTTGAGCACTACAAACTGCAGTCAAGTACCTACTATTGAGCCAAGTGACACTAAGCTGGGAGTGCCAGGGCTATGGCTGTAGCACATCGGGTGGAAACGCGCCTGAAGATTGTGACATCTCGTGCCACGCTGCCTGGCCAGCAATGATAGTCCCAAGGCACCCAGCTACAGGGCTCCAAGGACTTGCAGGACTGCTTCTGCAATGTACCCCTGTGGATTCCAGAACAGGGTACACATTCATGTTGATGTGGTGCCTTGTAATGGAGAACAATGGATGATATCAACAGCCAATCACCTTCCAACTCTTTCAAGCTGTGCACTCTGTTCGCCTACACTTGTGACCAGCCGCATGGCTTAGGCCACAGCAAATTACTTGCAACAATGGTGAAAAAAGCTACACATACTCTTACAGGGGATATCCAGGTTGCATCAGACCTCGAAACCTATGCTATTGCATCCCCATGTTTCCAAGCAGGTCTGCAACCTGCTGAATTTGCTGCTTCCTTTCTTTCCTTTGCTTTTTGATCAATCTTGAACCCTTCACTTTGCGGACACCATCGTTCTTGGCTCGCCTGACAGGCTTCACAGGCCAGCCCATCGCAGCTATGGACACCCGCCGTTGGCCCCTCTTCCTGCCACCTTTTTGCATGAGTGTGTTCTCTTTCCTTGCCTTGCTGCTGCCTTTGGTGCTCTCATGCATGGTCACCTCTAGAACGCCATCGCCACCTGTTGCACTCTGCCCATTGTCCACTTCCATCTGCTCAGCATCCTTTGCTGCACCACACAATGCAGACTGGTTCAACAGACTAGGCATGTTAAGCATCTCAGATACTTGAAGCATATCCATGTACACAAATACATCTATCATTCCCTTTCCTGTATTCTATATCTATCATTGGTGTATCTGTCAGCACAGCAAAGCAGGAGAGAAGTTAAGCATGACTAAAATCCGCTGAAAACTGTTTGCAGAGTCTCGTAGCAATAGAGTGGCAGCCCACACAATGTGGAACTTGAAGATGGGATGAATGTGCACGCCCAATAATCGTGTTGTCTCTACACTGACCACACAACAGCTTATTGGCACGTTCAACATACACCATCTTAGAGTTTAACGTTATCCCCTGTTTGCACACTCTGTTTTGTGCCAGCAATCCCACAAGAGCATAGACAGCCAAACACAGTGCAGTGGGATTCAGAGATATTTCTCAATGGCTTCTAACAGATGCAATCCCCCAATGGATTAATTGTCAGAATCCAACCCCACCGAAGGGGCACAACAAACAACAGATCAAACTTCATTGAAATCCATCCAATAGTAAACATAATATTGCCCATGTGGACTTGGTGTCGGGCCTGTGAGATGCCGCTATTTCTGGTCATCTTGTCTTTGTATCACCTGGGCTGAATGGGCCCCTTTTTGCCAACGCTGCTAGCCACGGAGCAAAGAAAACGTACTCTTGCAGGTGTGATGCTATTGGGAAAATGATTTGCTGGCGGCCACATGTCACTTGGGCCAGGCAGATGGCCCAGATTTGCACACATGGGAGCCACCTTTCGTCTTGTTGGAGGGCCTGCCATATTTGTCAGCAAATTGTTGGGAAGAAATCAACCTACTTGAAGCCAGGCAACACTGTGCTGCGCACTACTTGCTGCACTTTGAGTGCGCACAATGCCATGTGGAGCTGTGCAAGGAACATCCACAGGAACATGGCCTTTAGACAACTTACCACTATTTCTCCTCCTTGGCGGTGCAGCAGCCACTTCCTGCGATCGCATCGCACGCCTCAGAGTCAGCCGCCACTGCTGCAATTGCGTCGGTGCAGTTTTTCGGATTCTTCAAATGATGATTCACGATGGCCCCATCCCAAAAAACCCTGATCCCGATCACACACCATCGCCACTCTTCCGAGCGCGATGCAGTTGGCTCCCTCTCGCGAATGGGCAGGCCCGGGCACCTCGAACCACGACTAGCAATTGACACTCCCCAGACTCACACACGGTGAATTTGCCACCTCGAAGCACTGAATTCAAGTCTGCGGACGTATGTACCTGTCTACGTGCAAGGGTAGGAGGCGCGCCACACTCAGGAGTTCATGTTCCGTGCAATCTTATCAACAGCATCGCTAACAGCTGCAGCAACTACGCCGCGGAGCGATGCATCATCGAGCCATCTTTCATAATCCAATCGAGATTGGCCGGCTGCCGCGCACCATTTCGGGTGCCCACCTGCGGGGGTGCCTCGATGCACGCCAGCATCACCGCCTGCTTGCGAGCCTCCGCCTCCTGCTCCCTTTCAGCCACCGCGTCCCTGCCGAGACACACTCGCACAAAATCAGCACAACGCCTCAGACGGCATTCGCCGTTCCTTGCTTCCTCCCGAACACCTCAAAACTCCGGAATCATCCGCAATGTTATCCCAGATAAGAAGAGGCACTCATGCAGAGGAGGAACTCGCCATCGTAAGCATCGCCAAATCACAGTTGGGGACGAAGCGGTGTGTCGCAGCCATGAGACGCCCGCGTTGCCGTCGCGTCGATTGCCGCCCAATGGCCGATGCCGTTTGGCCACCCACCGTCGGAACCCGCAGATGTACTTCCTCCTGTTGGAGCGGGAGTTGCGCTTTCCTCCCATGGCTCGTGAACGGCCGTCTGCACGTTGCGTCGAGAACGTCCTTGGCGGCCCGACAGGGAGCTTTATGAATATCTGGGAAGGGTTTCAGCACTGGAGACACGGGGAAATGACTTTTTTCCGGAACGTTTCCCTGCAACCGCAGGCCTGGGCACTTGGGCCCAAATTTGCAGTCGCGAGTTGGCAAAATTTGGTGCCTTCGCTTTGTGGCACCCTCCCGCGTACGCACCCATGCAAACGGGGGCCCTGAAGAGGCAGGGGGCCCGGAAGGATGCGGCAACGGGCATGGCGCACTCTGGCGGATTCCGACCGACCGTTGGGCGCGGCTGCCGCGCTCTCCAGAGGTAGGTGGCTTTGTATGCCTTTGTACCGCTGGGCACTAGCATGCCGCCGCTGCGTTTGCGGATGCGGCAGACGTTTTGCCCTAGACGTCCGCGACTGCACAGACCGCGCACGGTGATCCCGAGTGTGGCTGACCGTGAGCGAACTACTCGTTTCTGTTCTACGCGGAACAAGCAACGTTTCGGAGTCGGCGGCACCGTGGCGATCGTGGCTTCCGGAGAGGCCGGATCCGGTTGGCAGATCCGGATGCGGCCCGGACTTGTGCGAATGATGGAATTCTTGCGACTGTGTTTGTCGTTTGTGACGCGGCAGTGGCCTTGCCCCGGGTGTGCTGCTGGCGTGCGCACGGCACAACCGACGAACTTGCCCGTTCCCGCTCCAGATGCACCGAGAGTACGAAAGAAACCCAAAGTTCCAGAAGTGAAAAGCAGAGAAGGCAGTGAGCAAGTACCTGAGGTTCGGCGAAAACAGTGAAATCCGCTAAGTGTTGGTGAACAGCTGCTCTTGCTGTGTTGCGTACCTGTTGCTGCACTTTCGCTGTCTCTCGCAGGGTGTGAATGCACGGACCCTGAGACCGAAGATTCCACACAGCAGAGCCGCAATTCTTCACAGTCCATCCACGACAATTTCCACTCTTTCACGACTGCTTTTATGGCCAACATCACTTTTCTGCCCACTGCTTTTGGAACAAAGTTGCCTCTTTCACCCCTTTTTGGTTGTTGCAGAATTCAGCCTATTCTGATTTTCATACTGGCACGCCTGTGCTTTTTTGCCCTCTTGCAGCAGAAAACAAATACGCCTGTCTATTTCAAATTTTCCCAATAGCCCACAATATCCTGTCACCTCGACACTCGCCGGTGTCAGCCATGTGCATTCTAGCCCATCGGACACTTTGCCAAAGGTGAGCGGGGGTGTCCGAGCGTGCTATTTAGAAATGACAAAAGGACATTTGGTGTCAGGGGTTGAGACTTTTACCCCACTATAACCATGCACACGGCGTCTAACAGGGAGTGTGAATTCTTGTGACAACCTTAGTCCGCCCACGACAAAATACAGCCCTTGCTCCCTTCGCATGGTGATGTGTGCGAAACCACATGCAAGCATTGGTCCAAAAGTTTTTCTGTTCCGATGTAAACTGGAAACCACAGAGAAGGAATGCCTAGCAAGCATCACCACCAACCACTGGACAGCTGACAGCCCCTTAGTGAAGGGCAGAGTGTACCGATCAAGACAAAGGGGTCAAGAGGAAAATGTCCATAATGGAAAGGCGGGAGCAAATTGCATAAAGGCAGACCAAAACGTAATCAGCAGAAAGAAGGAAAACCAGAACAATGGAAAGAACGGCAATAGTCCCAAAGCCGCAGCCAAAAGGACACTGAAGACCCTAACCACTTGAAAACCACTGTGTGCCATCCATTTGTCCACCGACCAAGCCTTTCACATGCCACAGGAATCGATTTTCCCTTCCCACCTCTGCCTGTGTGCGAGGCTCAGCAATTTCGCGAAATGCAGCCATGCATGCACTTACTTCGTGGAATGGAAAGATGACGTCTATTTTTTTTAACAAATGTGGTCTGCATCCTCAAGAGTGAAGGCGGAGGAGGTGGCAAGCATGTGAAGAAACCTTTCCACAGTCAAACAAGTAGCATCGATAGAAAGCTTATGTGCCAGTAGTTGGCACAACAGGGCAATCTCAACGCACGAATGGGCACAAGTCCAGGCAACTGATGGGACAAGATGCCACTTCACTGCCAACAGAGGACGAGTACGATATGTAGACATCCAATGGGGTGGTGTGTGATCCGATTGTATGGAACTCATGTGTTCACAATGCAACTGCGGCAATCCAGCGTAATGGTCGTGCTCCCTCCACACCTCACGGATGGCTTCTCACTGGATATCACTGGAAGACAAGTTACCAGTTCCCCACGTGTCAATCTGTGTTCAGTTGTCATGAATTTCCGACAGTCATGTATCAGCGATGTGAATGGTGTTAACTTTCACCAGGGTGTAAAAGCATATCCGTATTTTTGGTCCGTTTGGTCCCAATTACTACAAACATTCAAACAATGCGAAAGACACACTACGCACATGTGGAGCACCGAAACAAACTCATAAAATGTGCCTGTCTTTGCTCCCCATTGTCAATGCTGATTGTCGGACATTTCTGCATCGCCTTACCAAGGGCGTCGATTATTTCGCTCAAAAGAGGGGTGCCCATCGCATGGAAGAGTTTTCTTGCCTGCTAATCAAACCATCACACTCGTGGCACAGTTGGCACTGGCCGCTGTCGCGTTCAACAACACTCCTTGGTGCTGATGGGTAGACAGATTGTCCACACATCTCATCACAGATTTGAGTGAGACGACAAACGTACCGAATCCAAAGAATTACAGGCTGGGTTCGAGTCCACCAGGGGGATCCTGGGCGGCTAGAGAAAAGGTATAAAGTTAGTACAATACCAAAAGTTGGATGTCTTCAGGGTCACACCAGCGCCTGCCGCTGGTGCAGCACATCTGGGGATCAGCCTGCACACAAATAATTGTGGGCAGAACACAGAAAGGAAGACAGCCATGGTTGCAATGGTCGGTGGCACTGCACTATCCCACACTGCATCAGGACTGGTGACCCCGTGCCAGCTCCAGCTGCCCATGGTACATAGCCCAACAAGGCCGCTGATCTACAGGATCTGCCCTGAACAACTGAAGATCAACTCCCCCAATGGAGAATCCAAGTTCGAGGCTGGTACCCATGGATTCCTCAATGGACCAACCAGGTCTGCTTGCTACTCTTGGTCAGTGTGGGAGTCTGTTCTCAAGCTTCAGGAACCCCGAGTGACAACAACAGGAATCTGTGGTTTGCACAGGTTGTGGTGGGTGGGGATAGGGGCAGGGCATCACACATCCTCCACTGCCCCCACCCTCTCGATGAGAGGCGCAGCCAGCACAGTGTCCATCATCCTCTGTCTCTCTGCTTCAGTGTGGAATGGAAGTAGCCACTGCCACCAGCTGTGCAAAACACACAGCCGCGCACGCACTCAGTCCAGGTGGCCACTGCTGGCCCCGGTTTGGTTGAGATTCTCAGCTGTCGGCACACGCGAGATTTACCAGCATGATACAGAGACACAGTGGCACTCAGCAGTGCAACTGCAGTCAACTGATTGGCAGAGAATCAGCAACACAGCACTCTATCATTCCTTCTCTTCCCTTGAGGGCGATGCAATTCCTGAGGGCAGCATGGGTACATTGATACAGGCACAAGTAGTCATTGTGTGGGGCCAGTGGCTTGACAGTTACAAGTGTCGAGACACTTGCAACGAACAACAGCAATAGAGGATTGGCAATGTGGCCCCACATGGTGGTTCGGAACAACGTATCTAATGGAAAACGGCCTGTTTCGAATGAAAATTCTGCTGGCCTCATTTCTTCTTTGCTCATGCCACAATTGCACTAAACTGATGATTGGATATGTACATCTATGTATCCATCCATCCATCCAAGAGCACACTTGGCCGGATGGCATGTTTGGATTCGCGTTTAAAAAGGGCGCACAACTGAGGTGCAAGGTATCAATGCATGGCAACCAGCAACAGGACAGTTCGTCCCATCATTGGTCGAATGCCGCAGTATTACCGCCACAGGCTGCATAGACAGCACCACACAGCAAGCAAATAATGTTACAGAAGGTCTTCAAACAAGTGGACAAGGGGCAGACAGCAGTTAAGTCACTTCTTGGCTTTGAGACCCTCCACGTGCACAAATCATCATTGCTTACATACATTTTTGCGGACATCTTTGCAGCACTTTGTGGAACAAGCTCACACTAAACAGTTCTGTTGCCCAGTAAGGTATACGTTCATCAGGCAGTGCAGTACTGACCTTGGGCCAAAGACCTCATCGAAGTTACTTCTCCATCCTTTGTTGTAGGGCCAGGGGTGGATCCGTTGCTTTTCGTACATCTCTATGCTCGTGCAGTTGACAGACAGCAGCTTGAGGTGCATCCCAAGGAAGCCAAGCAAGCTCACCACAAAAGCAGCATCAATCACAAAAGACAAAAACACCAATGTCGACCTGCGGTCGCCAAATGAGTGGTGCCCTGTCAACATTGGTCAAAAGATGAAAAAGGAATGAAGGGGAGGATGCAGGCCATACTATTTATCTTCCGCCAAACGGCTGTTGAGCATGGAGCATGTCCACTATATTGATCCACTGAGGAGGGAAAGTTGGATGCAAGACCTGACTATTGTGCTGCTCATGAAATGTAGTTCAACGACACACACTGGAGACCTTAGTTTGTGACGGGAGACATGTCAGTGACACATATTCAGCCGCATACTGTTGCCCATCACGTGGCTGTATCCGTGGTCAGAGGGACAGCGACAAGGGGCCAAGTGATGTCTGCTTCATGCAATAATGCATGCATATTCTGCGAATTGCCCTGTGTAAACACTGTGTGGGGCTCTGTGCATGCGGAGGATGTCAAACAGGCCAAAGGTGCGCTGTCACGGCATGGGATCAGTCCATATCAGCACTAGTTGCCCAGTGAGTTTACTTCATGTCTACCCCTCCATCTGAGCGAGAAGATGTCTTTGCAAAAACTCTGAGAAAGTCTTCGTGTTAGGTCTGTTTGAAACATTCCTTTTGCCCGTCCATGGCTGCGGATCCTGTTGTCGGGTGCCATAGACAAACCCTGTTTACAGATTGCTGCACATTGCCCATTATCTTTACTGCCAAAAAGGCCCAAAGCAAATAAACACATGGATTGACATCAACAACTGCTTGACACAGCTCTGAGCAGCAGCCGCCCAGCTCTTGAGGCCATGGACATGCTCCGTGCCACAGAACCAATAAGCACAGAACTCAATCGCTCCCAACCACTCACACAAAAAGTGAACGGCTATGCAGTTTGCCACATTTTGGCACATGGAAGCACAATGGTGCAAGCCCATTTCAACTGACCACAACTCTCGCAGCGACTCACCCCGATTTCTTCTCCCCTCGAAAATACTCCACAAGGCCAGGCATCAGTATGCATGCTGCCAGCAGGCATGCTGCCCATGTGTATGCTATGAACAGTAGGAAGAACTTGTAGTTCAGCAGGCCCACGCAGTTGACGACCCATATACAGTAGTGGTCCATTTTGAGGATGCAGCGGCCTGACACAGAGCAGTGGTGGGCCCTTTCTGGCTTCCAGTTGTGGCACTTCCGGCAATACCGGGGACGTTGGGGGTCAGCCCTATCGTACAGGGTGTCCCCACCCGTGTTCCAACGCTGAAGCTCCCTTGTCGCTGTCTGGAGCACGTCGAATTGAGCTATCAGTTGAACTGTCGCTGGATTGACAATCGATTGCTCCACTTGTTGACTAATCGTCACTTGTAATGTCAGGCATCTTGCTTACATCACAACAGGATGCAACTGGGTGGTGTGCGCAAGATGATCTGGGGAATTCGGGCAGGCTTTGCTTGGACATTCAGATGCCTATCGCTGCCTGCAAGGCGCAAGGGCTTGGTGTGTTGTAGCCATTCCAACAATTGTTCTACGTGGAATCAGCTTCCATCACACCATTGAATGAAATGTGGGTTCAGTTTCTTAACAGAAAAGTAAGCAAAGGCCATATTAAGTAGCTTGTCTGACAAATGATGCTATGTTAGATGTGAGGCATTTTTGGCAAAGGATGCATGTCATACAAGGGTCACAGCGACAGAGGGGTCATGTCCCCCTCATGTGCCCTCACAGCAGTCATGCCAAACAGGGGTCGTGAATATAGCAATGCCAGAGCAAGCAGAGTGAATGGTAAGTAAACGTGCTCCCCTGGATGTTCATATGAGGATGGTGCGATTCGGAACCCGGCTGTGACACAAGCTCCTCACGATGACTAAGCGACACATGGTTTGTCAAAGAAACACCAATCAGGGAAGAATTAAAGACATGCGTACATCTCACCTCGTCATCTGCAAATGGGTGCCAATCTTCAGGTACGGAACCAGGTTCTGTCAACACTGCTGCGAAGTACGACCACACGAGCATGAAGACCTGGCAAGCAAGCCCAAATTTAAGACACTATAGATAGGTACATCTGGTCTGACAATTCGAACATTCAGCTCAACTCATCACTTTGAACATTCCTTACAGTAAGTGACAAAATGTTTCATATGCTCTTCCTTGGCAAAACACACCCTCTGAAACGAGCTGCTCGTGTCTGGTGCCTTCTTGATGAGTTTTCTCGGTGAGGAATTAATTGCAGTTTCACTAACAAGTGAATTCAATGCATGGTCTGGTTCTGATCGTATCAGAGGAAAGCATGCATGCCTGCAGCCAAGTGGTCGGCTGGCATGCTGCACTTTTACCAACACTAGCCAGCCAAGGCAATCTAGCAACATCTTGGCCACAATGGGGGCAAAGATATCATGGAGCAGGATACGAATGCTTATGCTGGATTGCATCCCCAACAACAAAAGGAGGCAAAATGCTGCTTAACGCTGATCCTCTGCGTCATCTGACGGGCTCCACGGCAACTTGGCCTAGTTAGCACCAGCCCAGCAATACAAGCAGCGGCCCGCAGCATAGGGCAACGCAAACATCAACACTGCGCGTGGCGAGCTCCAGCCGGAGACATTCCGCCAGCAGGTCACGCGAAAACACGCGCTGAGTTGCAAGCCAAAATCACGCCGCATCCGCCGAAAGCCCGACATGGCAGCGGTCCCGCGGCAGGGAACAAACACCCACGCTCTGGATCCGATCAGCGCGGAAAATAAAGACATCACCAAGCCAGCTCATCTCCGCCGCACTGGGCCCCACGAAGGCAAGGCACGGTCCGCCATCTGGGTTCTCCCCCGCCTGTTCCACGGCCCCAAAAAAGGTTCCCCTTCCACGGCGCAACAGCCAGCGTTCCGCCGCCGCTGATGGCCCTGACCCGCTTATTCATCCTCCCGATCGTTCCCTTGGCACGCGAAGCAAGCGCGAATTTCTTTTTCTTCCCTTTGCGCTGCCGACCGGATTGGCAAATGCGCCCGGGGCCCGGCTCACCAGCGTGCTGAAGACGACCAGGAGCACCAGGTCCAGCACCATTATGTGCGGCGCGCCGTGCGCTATCCCCCGCCCCAGGGTCTCCACCGCCACGGCGTAGAACGACAGGCCCACCAGCGCCAGCACGGCCAGCACCATCACGTGGCCCAGCACGCGCAGCGCCTTGCAGAACCGGAACACGTTCATCCACGCCAACCGCCCCATGCCTCCCATCCCGTTGCCGGCGTCCACCGCGGGCATCGCGGCCCTTGGGCCGATCGGGCCCTCCCGCGCGACGCCGGGGGATCGGATGGGCCGGCCGGGCGCCACCCCCGCGCTGCGCTGCGGCGGGCCGGGCGCGGCGTTGTCAGTACTTTGCGCCTTCGTCGTCGTGATTCAGGCCACGCAGGGCGGCGGGGGGGCTGGAAGGTGGTTGAGCGTGGGCCAGGGGAGCTTGGAGGAGAGGAGGGGGCCGGGGGCTGGGTTGATAGGCCGGGGGGGTGTGCTCTGGAGGCTGAGAGGGGGTGCGTGCCCGCGAGGTTGTTTGGTAGTGTAGTGCGGGCGGTGACGCGAAGTTGCGTTTGAGCGAGCGTTGTGACCCGATTCGGAGGCGGCCCGTCAGGTCAGGTGCGGTTACTGGTTAGTACTGTACAATATTAAACCCTTCCGCATAGTAACGTAACGCTTGGCCTTTTTGCGGAGGCAATAATATAAATAGTAACGCAAATCTTGGCCTTTCTTTGAGGAGCAACGTAAAAAATATTACAATAAAGTTCAGAAAAGAAACTGCGGAGCAAAAATCGTAACGGTGAAATTCTTTTGATGCGGAAGGGTTGAATATTTTACAGTATGGCGGCGCCTTGGCCTTGGCGTGACGTTACTGTTCCTGATAATGGCCTGACTCTTCTTCGAAGTAGGCGAAAAGAGGGCGAAAGAGGGAGCTGATGGCCACCTGCACGCCTCGACACGTAATATTTCTTGCTGGTGGTGGCTGTTTCTTTCTTGCGAAGGTGCCCCATTACTTCTTTTGTGCCCGCCACACCAGTAGAAAACAGCCTATTTGCGACGCCAATTGCGACGCCATTTGACACAAATTGATGCCATCACAGCCACTTCTGTGCCATCGCAATCACTGTGACGGCATCATTTTGTGTCAAAATAGCATCGCAGTTGGCATCGCAGACATGCTGTTTTCTGCCAGTGCCAGGCGCCAGACGGCAGGTCAACTGGCCCAGGTGCCGGTTTGCGCACTTTTGGCATGCAGCATCTGGGGTGCCACCTGGCGCCGACGCGCTCAGAGCGTGGAGGTCTACATTATTCCACCGTCTCTCTCTTTCTTCCTTTTGTACATGTTTATAAATATGCAATGAATTGTTTTGTGTGTGGCCTTTGGCACCCCACCATATCAGCCACTGCCAAAGAGGACGCCGTGGCCAGCCACTTGCTGATAGCCGGTTTACCAGGCATCGACGTGATACAAATTCCACGCATCCACCAGTCATATGGTTTGTTTCCCACACACAACAGAGACGTTGCAGGCGTGCACGCAAGTTGCAGCGATACGTACACGTCACAGGGGTGACGACACGTATTAAGCAGCTAGCACAGCTACCAGTTCCCTATGTGCCAGATGATCATGCACCTCACCACCCCCTTGGGCGAGGGTGCTACTGGTTTGCCACTCAAATAATTGGAGCGGCAAATGTGCTCATGTTTCAACGAAGGGAATCCCACGTCCTCATCAAATCACCTGCTCATCTGTTCGCAAGACATACGCAAAGATCTCATTTCCAGGCCCATGCAGCACTTGGATTTTTGGGCTTTCGAAAACTTCTGTATTGATTATCTATTTGCAGTGTCCATAAAACGGTTGGGAAACCCATTTCAACCTGTACGTTTCCTTCGCAATAGCACAATCATTTGCACAGCAGCAGATGTATCAGAATGCGGTGAGGGCATTTGGATCCATGGGTCCATGTTCGGGACTGTGTCTCCACATGCTCCGTCTGCAGTAACATTGTATCTGATGCTATCCTATCGTGTGGAACATCGAGGGCGTGGGCCGGTAACCTTCAACGATTTTGCAGTTTTGGTGACAACAACTTGAGAATGGATCATCTCTGGTAAGCATGTGGATAAGAGCAAGAACATGCTACTCCTTGGCTTATCTAACAACATGCAAAACAAGAACCATTTCAGTTGGCCCATTATCTCTTACCTTGTTGAGCTTCGCATCACTCACATAAATTTCAATTATCTTTCAAGTGTTAAATTCACGTTTTAGGGACTGCATCTTCTGTTCTGCGTTTCGCCTTGCGCTTTCTATCTATATGGCACAAGGCCCACATCCCTTTAAATTTGATGGGGATGGAACGCGTACTTCGTAGCAATTTTGATGAGTGAGGAAAGAAACAATTGAAATTCGAATTCAGCGGCGCTATCCGCGTGGATTTGCATAAAACGAGTTTACGTATCTGTCCGCCGCTACCAAATGTCTTCTGACGCAGTCGCCGTATATAGAAGTATGAGCAATTTCCAGCAATGCCGGACGACATGACCATCCAGATCAATGAACATGCATCCACCGACCTGAAATGGAAAGCACCAGTTCACTAAGAAGGCGCAGGTTGGGATGATTTTTGCGGACCCGGGCACTCCAGGCGTTCCGGCGGTGCACGTATTGGATACATTCACCTTACCATTCCGCATACGAACAATCAGGCTTGGTTTCTGCGCCGTAAAAACTGATCGTATTTACGTTTTTACGCGTAAAAACAGTTTTTACGCGTAAAAACAATTTTTACGTTTTTACGCGTAAAAATGCGTAAATACAACGTAAAAACTGCCCGGTGTACATAAGGACAGTACATACAGAGTTACGGAGTCCGGAGAGTGGTAGCCAGACGCCCTGGAAGGGGCGGAAGACGAGTTTTTGTTGAACACCATCATCGCCATTGCCAAGGGCGAGGTGGACACTGTGTTATGGGTGCTGGATACGGCGGAGGACTGACCACTGTACGCAACTTTCATCATGTAATCTGGGCGTCCCAGGAAGCCGTAAAAACGTAGAAATAGCCGTAAAAATAGGTCCTTTTGCAAATTTACGTTTTTACGCGTAAAAACGTAAACGTAAAAACCAAGCCTGCGAACAATGATAACTTTAACAAAACGGGAAAGAAACTTATTTCAGAAAAATTGTGAGCCATCGCTCTGATCTGATATCCCCAAGAGCTTGTAATGATTGCCGACAAGCCATATCCAAAATCACCAAATTGCGAATTACATGCCAGTGCATGACTCACACGCAGGTCGTCATCACGTGAAAGTTCATTTCATCAAACTCCGAAGTTCGACAAATTGAGATGATTCTCACTCGCAACGCAAGGTCATACCCCCGGAAGCCTGCCTCAATTGAGGTTGCAACCAAGCAGACACCGTTGTCTTCAATCTAGCCTAATCTTGTAATCACTGACTCAATTATAATTGTCCAATAATTATTGGACAAGCTCATCACGCGTGCGTATGCATGGCATTCCATATGCAGACCCCACGTGCCGTCAGCAGTCAGCCTCTTCAGAGGTCAAAACTTTGAGGCAACCACAGCGATACCACAGCTGCCCTCAACCGCTGCCTCGAGTCTGCGGCAGGGACCTTTGAAAGACAGTCAACAATCCAGGCGCGCTTTCCGGCACAATCTGACGCTGCACAGATCTGGACTTCTTCTCCTTGAGGACACGCTCGGGAGCAGGCAGCTCAAATGCCCCGTCCAGTTCCTTGTCCAGCAACATCTTCCGCGCCATCCATTCATCAGACGAGCTGCTCGCACGCGGCTTGGCCGAGTTAGAGCCCTCTCCGCCTGCTCTTCGCAGGACGACCAGAAGGATCTCCGGACACGCCTCGCCAGTTGTAATCCTCGAAACCTGTCGCCCACTCGTTTCACCCAGCTGTGCGACTGGTCGAGTTGCCCGTGTCTCATCCATGCATCCGCCCGTCCATTCTGCGCAAGGGGGAGGCAGCCGCCAGATTCAGGGGACGAATGGCAGACCCCAATTTCACTAGGATGTGTGCGACAGATTCTGTGGCCCTGAGACAATATACGGCGGATATCAAATGGTTTACCAGGAGGGCGACTTCACTTCCTTGAACCGTCCAAATTCTCGTCATTGTGACCATCCTCACGATCGTCTGTGTACTCGTCGTCGTGCTGGTCAGAATATCCGCCAGGCGCTCCCAGTTGTCCCGGTGTGCCGGGCCTCCCTGGCTGCCCCGCCGCTCCATGCTTGCCCTCCTGTCCATCCACCCCATCCCGACCAGGCGCGCCAGGAGCGCCATCTCTTCCGGGAGTGCCGTCTTTCCCCGGCGAGCCGTCCTTGCCATTCTGTCCGGGGTTGCCTGGGGCGCCATCCTGTCCGGGAACACCGACCGGGCCCTGAGGTCCAACCAGTCCAGGATCACCCGGATGGCCCTGAGCGCCTGGCGCACCAACGGCTCCCGGCCGTCCATCAGCGCCGTCCCTGCCAGGATTGCCCTGCTGCCCGGGGTTCCCTGGCGGCCCCTGTTGTCCAGGGATGCCGGGCGTTCCCGGTGGTCCCGTGGCACCCCGCTCTCCCATGGCGCCGGGAATTCCGGGGTTGCCTGGCAAGCCATCACGTCCATCCGCGCCAGCCTCACCCCTCGCTCCCGCCTGTCCGGGATTGCCGTCCTGTCCGCGCTCGCCCTGGGCGCCCGGCTGGCCGGGCTGACCGGGATTGCCGGGTACACCACTGTCGCCCTTCTCGCCGGGGGCTCCTGGAGTCCCGGGGGCGCCGGGCTCCCCATCCCTGCCGGGTGGGCCAATGATGGGAACTGGGACTGGCACGGGTATTTCTGTGGCATGGCACACAGAGCCTCAGCACGCAGCCAAAGAATCTATGAAGCGCATGCACAGGTTTCCCGTTGGGGTATTCTTCTCGCTTGCGTGGCTCCAATCCAGCCGTGTGCGCACGTTCTGGACACATAGACGGGGTTCAATCTCGCAGATAACGCAACAACCTCAGTGCACCATGCCGAGTCTTTCGCGAACGTCTGAGCGGCTGAATGGGCAGCAGGTTGGGAGGTAAGACAGGGGCACTCACTGCACTACTCCAGCTTGCCGTCGAAGAGCGTCCTTATCTTCTCCGTGGCGGCCACGTGCACCTGCACCTTCGATGAGTCGGTTTCGTTCTTGGCGCAAAAGGCCGCGGCGGTGTCACAGTCCAGCATGTCGTGGTCGTACCAGTCGT